TTGTTACACCTTACATATATATAAAATGTCTTGTGCCACATCTAAGCTATGCTTAGAAAATTCCTATATACATATATATGCACGTGACTGTGATAATACACACACTTTAATATACATACTAGCTAATTGTCAAAAACACATGAAAATACTGACAGACACGAACATACGCATGTTTTGGAAGATATGTATGTAAATCATTATGAAAAATATATGCACCTTTATTTTAAACAAATATTATTTTCTTTTTTCAAACTTTCTTTCCGTGTCATGAAGTCAACATAAACTATTAATTTAATTGCCTATATCGAATGTTAAATTACCTGACCAAGTTGAGTTAATTAATACTAGTGTCAAGCTAAGTACATATTGATCTACTGCGCAGATAGATAGATAGATAGATAGATAGATAGATAGATAGATAGAAAACTAGTTTTAATTCACATGTGCCCAGGCAGCAGTTTTCAGTCAGCAGTCGAGATTGAATGGTGCAAGGGAAGCAACTCCTCTGATTCTCTTCAAAAACTAAACAGGTCGGCTTGACGTTAGATCTCCCCGCTTGTATTGACAAAGTTATTATTCGTTAAATTACTCCCTTGTGTGTATGTAGTATATATATATATATATATATATATATATATATATATATATATATATATATATATATATATATATAATAGATACACACAGACACAGACACAGGCAAACAGATATATAGGAACAGCGGAAAATTTGAATGGTAGTGATTATTTTCCTGTGTTTAACCTGTGGAGAAAAATGGCAGCAACATTTCATTATTTAACAAACCTTTGCTGAATTCTGTTACATTTCGACAAGTCTATGGGATCGAGCTCGCTGTTCACGATCCACCAGGCATGCTTGCTAAGCATGACCCCACGCCATAACGCCTAGACAGTTGAGGACTCATGCTGCTCACACTCACTCAAACCGGTTATTTTCTCTTTTTTTTTTCTTTTTAATAAATAAAAGTCGTTTGTTGAAATCGTTCTGGATTTTATTTCATGATATTTCTGATCAACATCAATATAAAGCCGACGAAATAAAGCAAACAGAGCGAATGAAATTGTTTCGGTTTTACTGCAACTACTTTTTTTTTTCTTTCTTTCTGTTTGCACGATTTTATTTTTTCAATTTTTTCTTGTTCACTCATTCACTCCTTCCCGTCCTTGAACGATAACATAATCTTCTTTTCTCACATTTTATATATTTATAAATAAATATGTAATTTTGCTTTTTACACGATTTAAACAATTCATATATATATATATATATATATATATATATATATATATATATATATATATATAGTTTTCAGGCGTGCTATATTTATGGGAAAAGGTGATCAATATCAGAGATAGAGCGTATGTAAATAGAAAAGTGAATATTGACGTCAACACTCAGAGGCGACAGACTGTTTCATGCTAGAGGCAATCGCTTTGTCATTCTGTCTAGCATGAAACAGCCTGTCGCCTCTGAGTGTTGACTTCAATGTTCAATGTTCATATATATATATATATATATATATATATATATAAATTGTCCAAATCGTCTAAAAGCAAAACTGTCCATTTGTTAGATTCAAATTTGAACCGTTCTATCTTACAAATGATTAAAGATATATTACTGGAAATTTTCCGAGGTTTTTATAACACTACTGGAATCTACTTTGATCAATATAAATGTATAATTACTCTCCAAGCTTAACAGAAGACTCGTGATGAAATCGATCATAAACGAAAATGACATGTTCATCATTAATTAATCATAGTTAAGGATCGGAAGCTCATTAAGGATTGATACAAAATTCAAATACATATTCCAGGATCATTTTGCAACTTATTCAAGATGATCTTAGCCCTCTCTAACCTTCTAAACTTCTGTCTTGGAGTAACGAGTTGCCTCACAGGTTTCACGTACGATTACATTTTCAAGTCTTTTTTCCACTGCTCTTTGGACTGTCATAGCTGAAACTCCTCTCTCACGTGTCAAATGCCTTCTAGATTGAGTTGGATCTTTTTTTAAACCCGAACCCGATACACACACAGACACAGACACACACGCACACACACACACACATATATATATGTGTGTGTATGTGTGTGTGTGTGTGTGTGTGCATGTGTAAGTGTTGAATGTTCCAAAAACAGTTCCCAAAAAGATTACAAAGAAAGAAAGAAAGAAAGAAAGAAAGAAAGAAAGAAAGAAAGAAAGAAAATAGTTTTAGTGAAAGTTGTCAAATGTTGAAAATTGAAAAGAACGAAAATGAGAAAGAAAGTTATCAAGAAAAGAATCGGAATAAAAAGAAAGAGAGTGGAAAAGAAAAATAAGTCTGGAAATTTTACCTTTCAATTCAAAGAAACAATGGCTTCTATTTGGAATTTTCAAATTGAAGGCATCATGACTTTTTCACTTTGGAACCATGAACATATAAATTCATTCATTTGTATTGACCACAAATAACTGAAAAAAAATCAGATAATATTTTCCGTTACTAACTGTGACGCATTGATTAATAGTAGATTTGAGAGAAAAAAAACTTATTGCCCTATAAATTTTCAGTGTAAATTTGAGTAAAAGTGGTGACCTTACTACATGAAAGGAAACAGAATCGATTAAAATTATGTGTCGTGGAAAGGTGAAATTCCATCCGAGATCCTCATGTTCTTTTAGCGAGGTGAGTGATTGTTGCACCTGAACCTCACCTTTTCAATATTCCTATCTCACTTGCTCGCCATCCACGCCTTTTGTTCAGGAATCGGTCTTTCTCAATTTACACAAGTATAATTCTTTTGCCGTTTGCTCCTCCATTAGTGAACGTTTCTGGCATAAACAAATAAAAATTGTGACATTATTGCGAGTGTAGTGCCCGAAGAATATTCACTATTAATGAGGTATAGGGGAGACGGTGAAATGATTCATTAAAGTTTTTTTTTTAGATGTGGCGCCTAGCGTAGCGCATATCGACGGGAAAGTGAACTTTGCGTTCAAATTCCGGTCAAGTTTGTTGCGTTTTATTTTGTACAAATCCCCTATGTAAAGATTTGAAACCGGCTCTACTTCTAACAGCTATGAGTTAAATGACAGGTTAGACTGGCCTCTCTGGTTTGGTTTGGTTTGGTTTGGTTTGGTTTGGTTTCTCAATGATTTATTTAATGCCGACAAGATTTTTATTGCTGCTAATATTTTTTTTCCAAAGAATATTTTTGGTAATATTTTTTACCAAAAATATATCGCTGGTAATATTTTTTTCCAAAAAAAAGTATTACCGGTAATACTGTACTGCTGGTAACAATTTTTTTTTTTCAAAAATTTATCGCTGGTAATAATTTTTTACAAAAATGTTTTGCTGGTATTAAAACCTATTTTTACACGTTTTGCCTCCAGTTTGCCCATAGCTGGGACCCTAACAGGTGCCACCACCCTGGGTTCGTGTGGACCTGGGAACACCAGCAATTAAGAAGTGATTCCACACTCCTCAAAACCTCCTGATCAAAGGCCATGCTTTCGGATGCAGTTTATCGTCTTACCCGGGACGCGGATGTAGTTTATCGTCATACGTAGGACGGCTGGCCTCTCTGTCTTTGGTTGGCAACCAATCTAGGAAAAGGAAAACATTGAAAAAATCTGCCTTGGTCGTTGGGCTGGTAAAAAAAAAATGCTTACTGCAGAAATCATAGAAGGAAAACCTGTGACCCAGTATTCTACAGAGGATTTTAATGGCTCCAGTTTTTCTTTTTACACTATTTATATTTTTTCGGACTCTTGTCATCTTTGTTGCCCTATTTACGACATTTCGGTCGTTGTACGCTCCGGCCTTCTTCAGGTGATTGGAATTTCTACCCTAACCCTTTATTTCATCTACAGGAGTAGATTGTTCTTCCCTGAAGTACAGACATGCACATTACAGAAGAGATCAAATTTAAGTGACGGCGAAAATGAAGAGGTAAATACGTGCCAGGCCTCTTCCAGGTATCTCACATACAGTTACTTCCCTTTAGTAATTCAACTCTTCAAGTTTCGGTTCACATCTACAATATTTAGCTGTCACCTCCTCGTGGGGTCGCATGTGGCAAAAGGCCGTGTTTTACGTGGTCACCCGAGCCCGTAGGCCCGGCCAAAATTATAGCCTTCGACTCGCCGAGGCGAGTTCGAGAGCTGTCATAACCTCCCCAAACGAAACCTTGCCCTTCGGCAAAGCTTCGTCCGGGTTTCTCTCTGCTAATGCAGAGAGTTTGACAGACGGCGGTTGCTGTACCTTAGTACAGCTACAGCTGTTCATATCTACTGTGGCCAGGTATTGAACTCACAACACTTTCGGGTCAATTTACTCGATTACTTCGACCAACGTTTTTATCCATTGGGCTACGTGTGGACATGGGGCTATGGCAACAAAGATGACGACAATACTTTAATGAACGTGTCATTTATTTCTGGTAAAAGTTTTTAAAAATATTCTTTATTCCCTCTAGAAAGCACTTACCGTTTTCTACTACGTGGGTCGCATACTGAGCCTCGTTTTAGTTAGTTTTTTTTTTTTTTTTTTTTTTTTTGTAAATTGGACGTTTTTCGGCTCTCCCACTATTTGTTATCAATATGAATTATACGAGGTCTGTCCGTAGCTTTTACAGTTTTACAGACATTAATACGCACTCGTTAACAAACACTATCCTGTATGGTCACCTAATCGAAAGGCAGACGTCATGGAGTGAACGGGTGCATTTTTTAACCGTTGCGTGCGCAATAAGCGAGCGAGCAGATCCTTCAGGTCTCGTGCAGAGTTTATATCTCCCTGCGAACTTCTGGCTTTTCCCCAAAGCTGAACTCGCCTTCTGAAACACCGCGGACGGGATTATGGAGAATGTGACAAAGCAGTTGACGGTGATCATGAAAGAAGACTTTTCAAACTGTTTTGCAAAGTAAAAAGGATGTTGAGATTAAGTGTGTGATTAGTTTAGGAAGCGTTTTGAAGTCGGCATTATGTTAACGACCATATCACGTTGAAACGCCGGTTCTCGCCCAATCACCGAAGTTAAGCAACGTTGAGCCTGGTCTGTACCTAGATGGGTGACCACTCGGGTATATCAGTTGCTGTAAGCCCCTACCAACACGTACTGGGCGATATACAGTAATGGCCCATTCATCCCCATGAAGGGAAAAGGGAGACATTTGAGAAAAGCCTACGTCCAAAAAAGGACTTTCACGGGATGATCAAGATAAGGTGACATTGCCCAAGATAAGCCATTTGTTCGTTAATATTAATTGGCTGATCATTTTCTAGAGTGATCTCGTAGACATTGCATAGGAAATACTAACATTCTGTAGTACAAATATAGTATTATAATTTACCTACCTCCTACACATACATCGAAAAAAGTATTGGGACTGTTGCTATGAAAGTATGTAGAGTGAAATCGCTTGGCATAGATTGACCTTGAATTCTGTCGCGCATGCACACTAATTTGTAACGTTCTCATTCACTTCCGTTGTTCATAGCTGTTCTTGAAAGGAAAGTGTGTACAGTGTGGTCGTCTCACGACACCACAGAGGTTTCATTAGAGATCATGGCAGAGAAAATTGAGTGGAGAACCTGCAGCAAATATGTTTTGGCCAAGCACAATATTCTCTAGGTCTGACAACCGCCATATTCCCCAGATTTCGTCCCTTGTGACTTTTTCTTTCCTCTCACCAAAAATCAAATCTCACTTCAAAGGAAGTAGATTTCAAGTTGTCGAGCAAATCCAAGCAACGCGATAACTTATCCCAAAAAAGGATTTCCAGAAATGCTTTTATCAATAGAAACAACGCTGAATAAAGTGTGTGTGGCTTCAGAAAGGGACTTCTTCGAAGGAGATTAAATGCCGAATTAATATGCGTTGTAAGTTTGTTTTTTGATTTTTTTTTATAGCAACAGTCCCGATACTTTTTGATCAGACATCGTACATGCATGGAAGTGCTTCAAATTGTCCGGGTTCCATCGGAACTTCCCTTTTGAACACGCCTCAGGCATCAGGAATTTACTATGACTCCTTTCCTCTTTAAGGGAAACGGGGAAAACACAAACCGGGAAAAGGACTACCTGGATTTTAATTAATTTCCGCCTCGAGGTCAAAACGGTCGTGAGATGATAGTTATGACAAAAGGAAGTTTGGGTTCTTTGTTGAAATGAGAAACTGTGTGAGAAGTTGTCATGAACGGATCGACTTAAGAATTTAAAAAATTACTGAAGACTCCTATACGCCATTCCAATTTGTTTGTTTTTTGGGGGTGGGGGTGGGGGGTGTTTTTTTATTAAAGCCTGCCATAAAATACAATATTAATTATGAAAATCCAAATAATAATGTAGTATTAATAACAGATTTCTGAAAACGCCCACTATTAATAATAGTTTTTTGTTGTTTTTTTGTTTGTTTTGTAAATTCGATATTACTACTCCATATATAGTGCAGCCTCTGATTTTATTTTTTTATTTTTTTTTTATTTTTTTGTGAAAACCTGATTTTATTTAATAGAGTTTGTATATAGTGCGACCCCAGCTTCTGAGCAATACTAGTAGACCTACCGTTGTCAAATATTGCAGTACTGGGCATCATCCTGGACACATTTTACAGCAAATAAATGGCATTCATTCTTTTTGGTACAAAGCTGCCCCAAAATGCTGAGAAAAAGAAAATGACCTTAAAATATCTGATACGAAGATTTAGATACCGGACTCTTGTTTTTGTTCATGCCGGAAAAATGCATGATTTTTAACCTCTTCAAAAAAAGAAAATCCCTCTGTATAAGGCAACCCCTATTTTAGCGCTAAAACTGACCATAAAAACTCGCAATATATTCGAGTATATAAAATATAGGTTTCTATCAGAGACATGCCTTCTAGGTAGGCGTGGTAGGCAGTGCCTACCCTGAATAAAATAAATCCGTAGCTACATTTCTGTAGCACAATATGCATCTAATCTAACAAAATTATGACGGCTACTCTGATTATTATTCAGTTTTTGTAGATTTACTACTTAAAAGGTCACAAGTTGCCTACCGGGAGTAATTACTGACGGCACGTGCATTGTTTCTACCTATATTCCATCAATGCCGACTGTCCCCAAAATGGAATAGCGGGTATTGGTGGATTAAACCCCAGATTAAACATTTATTCAATGCCTGAAACTCCTTTCAGAAAAGTACAGGTATGCACATTACGAAAGAGAACAAATTTATGTGGCAGCAAAAATAAAAAGGAAAATACGTGTTTTAATAAAAGTGTAGGTGTATTTTTGTCCATATACGAACAGGGACACAAAATTATTAAGAATAAAACGAACTTGGACACGTTAAAATAACTACAAAATTTGGTGAAAATGACATCAAATTTAGCACAAGGCAAAAGCTGTAGAAACGCTGAGGGCGACAGTAAATCCAACAGCTGAAAGTGATAGAAACGCCGGTGACAGAATCTGGTCGAACACTAATCGATAGCTGTAGCAACATTGGAGATGAAAGTAAGGTTAACAAACAAATATTCGTGTAGAAACTCTGTAGGCGACAGTAAATCGAACATAGAATAATAGCTGTAGAAACGCCGGAGACGGCGCACAATGCAACACAGAATAAGAGCTGTAGAATAAATAACATAGAATGCGACGCCGGAGACGGCGCAAATGCAAATACAGAATAAGAGCTGTAGAAACTCTGGAGGCGACAGTAAATCGAACATAGAATGATAAAGAAACGCCGGAGACGGCGCACAATGCAACACAGAATAAGAGCTGTAGAAAACTCTGTAGGCGACAGTAAATCGAACATAGAATGATAGCTGTAGAAACGCCGGAGACGGCGCACAATGCAACACAGAATAAGAGCTGTAGAAACTCTGGAGGCGACAGTAAATCGAACATAGAATGATAGCTGTAGAAACGCCGGAGACGGCGCACAATGCAACACAGAATAAGAGCTGTAGAAACTCTGTAGGCGACAGTAAATCGAACATAGAATGATAGCTGTAGAAACGCCGGAGACGGCGCACAATGCAACACAGAATAAGAGCTGTAGAAACTCTGAGGCGACAGTCTGAACATAGAATGATAGCGAAACAGACGGCGCACAAATGCAACACAGAATAAGAGCTGTAGAAACTCTGGAGGCGACAGTAAATCGAACATAGAATGACGGAAACGCCGAGACGGCACAATGCACAATGCAAAACACAGAATAAGAGCTGTAGAAACTCTGGAGGCGACAGTAAATCGAATATAGAATGATAAATCGCTGTAGAAACGCCGGAGACGGCGCACAATGCAACACAGAATAAGAGCTGTAGAAACTCTGGAGGCGACAGTAAATCGAACATAGAATGATAGCTGTAGAAACGCCGGAGACGGCATAGAATGATAACTGTAGAAACAATGCAACACAGAATAAGAGCTGTAGAAACTCTGAGGCGACAGTAAATCGAACATAGAATGATAGCAGAAACGCCGGAGACGGCGCAAATGCAACACAGAATAAGAGCTGTAGAAACTCTGGAGGCGACAGTAAATCGAACATAGAATGATAGCGAAACGCCGGAGACGGCGCACAATGCAACACAGAATAAGAGCTGTAGAAACTCTGAGGCGACAGTAAATCGAACATAGAATGATAGCTGTGAAACGCCGGAGACGGCGCACAATGCAACACAGAATAAGAGCTGTAGAAACTCTGGAGGCGACAGTAAATCGAACATAGAATGATAGCTGTAGAAACGCCGGAGACGGCGCACAATGCAACACAGAATAAGAGCAAAAACTCTGGGGCGACAGTAAATCGAACATAGAATGATAGCTGTAGAAACGCCGGAGACGGCGCAAATGCAAACACAGAATAAGACTCTGGAGGCGACAGTAAATCGAACATAGAATGATAGCTGTAGAAACGCCGGAGACGGCAAATGAATGAATAAGAGCTGTAGAAACTCTGAGGGCGACAGTAAATCGAACATAGAATGATAGCTGTAGAAACGCCGGAGACGGCGCACAATGCAACACAGAATAAGAGCTGTAGAAACTCTGGAGGCGACAGTAAATCGAACATAGAATGATAGCTGTACGAAACGCCGGAAGAGCGGCGAAACAATGACAACAACATAGAATAAGAGAAACGCCGGAGAACTCTGAGCTGTAGGCGACAGTAAATCGAACATAGAATGATAGCTGTAGAAACGCCGGAGACGGCGCACAATGCAACACAGAATAAGAGCTGAAACCTGGAGAAAATCTCTGGAGGCGACAATAAATCGAACATAGAATGATAGAATGATAGCTGTAAAACGACGGAGACGGCGCACAATGCAACACAGAATAAGAGCTGTAGAAACTCTGGAGGCGACAGTAAATCGAACATAGAATGATAGCTGTAGAAACGACGGAGACGGCGCACAATGCAACACAGAATAAGAGCTGTAGAAACTCTGGAGGCGACAGTAAATCGAACATAGAATGATAGCTGTAGAAACGCCGGAGACGGCGCACAATGCAACACAGAATAAGAGCTGTAGAAACTCTGGAGGCGACAGTAAATCGAACATAGAATGATAGCTGTAGAAACGCCGGAGACGGCGCACAATGCAACACAGAATAAGAGCTGTAGAAACTCTGGGCGACAGTAAATCGAACATAGAATGATAGCTGTAGAAACGCCGGAGACGGCGCACAATGCAAACACAGAATAAGAGCTGTAGAAACTCTGGAGGCGACAGTAAATCGAACATAGAATGATAGCTGTAGAAACGCCGGAGACGGCGCACAATGCAACACAGAATAAGAGCTGTAGAAACTCTGGAGGCGACAGTAAATCGAACATAGAATAATAGCAGTAGAAACGCCGGCACAATGACAGAATAAGAGCTGTAGAAACTCTGGAGGCGATAAAATCGAACATAGAATGATAGCAAACAGACGGCGCACAATGCAACACAGAATAAGAGCTGTAGAAACTCTGGAGGCGACAGTAAATCGAACATAGAATAATAGCTGTAGAAACGCCGGAGACGGCGCACAATGCAACACAGAATAAGAGCTGTAGAAACTCTGGAGGCGACAGTAAATCGAACATAGAATAATAGCT